GAAATGGAAACGAGTCGCAGTGAAGAGCAACCCTAGCGTAACTAAATATTTATTTTTCTGCAAAAGGACGTGGATCTCACGCTGCACGATCATCGGTACCTATACGGCTATACCGCATAATGTATACTAATGTGTATACCGACCGCTACGGCGAATAAGGCGGGGTGCCGAAACACGAATGAATTTTAAACGGTTAGTGTTTATCGAGCCGAGGACGTCGAACTAAATGTTTTATTATATCAACTGCAAAATTTACAAGTTGGCGGATTTTATCGAATTTTTTTCCACCAATAAATTAAAAAAAAACAACAAAGTATTCGTTTAATTTAACCATGAATAGTATCATTGATAGAAAATAAAGGGGTCTGTGCAAAAACCGAACCAGGGCTGGGAACCTTTATGATATTTTCGGTTTCGGTTCCAATTCGGGTCTTTAAAAAAAATAAAATACGGTACCGTTTTCGGTTCCTGTTCTTAAAATTACAGAATTAAGGTTCAGGTTCTGGTACCGGTAAATACCGGTATTTAGAAGTATATTTTTTTTTTCAAAAAGTAAAAAAAATCCAAGTATACACTTCATACATATATTAATATATGTATGAAGTGTATACTTGGTTTTTTCTAATTAGAGGTATATAAAAGATAAATCAAATTATAGAAGAATTATTGGGTTAAAGGACTTTACTAAAGTTTACTATAATTTTGTTTTAAAAATATCCAAAACAAATAATTTTAAAAAATAGGGTCGGCTCAGCCCCTATTTTTCAAAAAAATTCGTACTATACACACTTTATTTACAATAATTTTATGACACAGTAACAAAGAAGACCAAGAATTTAAATTTAAATTGATATATTATTAAGTAAAATATGGGGCATAACTTTTTATAAATTTAAGAGAGTCAAAATCATAACACAGAAATAACTAAAGGTATCCAACCTTCATAATAATTCATTAGCGATTCAATGTAGAGAAGTAAATATAAATTTGTTAAAATGTAACTGAAAACAATTTATTTTTTAGTAGGTACCTATCATAAAAGATTTTCATTTTTAAAAATTATTTTTTAATTTTATGTATATTTAGTGTAATATTAGTATACTACATAATAATATCATATTTTGTTGTATACATAGTACATATTATTAATATGTACTATGTAGATACTATATTCTACATTATTATTTATTACCTACCAATTATAATCTATTTTTATAGTCTTATTCATTAGTACACACTTATCAAATCTGTAATGCACACTTCCAATTTCGGACTAAACACTTTGTGTCGGGGTTCACTAAAAAATAGGGCCTGGGTTGGCTCATATTGTAAGAAGTGGAAGTCAGTGCATAGTATAATTGGATACAATCAAACACTCAAATATTTAATGGTTTATATAAAAAGTGGTTTAATTTAAATAATAGTCTAAAATTTTGTATGATGTGCATGTGGCTAAATGACCATATTATATAAAATAATTAAATAAAACTAGAACCGAAATAAACCGAAAAATTCTCTTCTGACAATTATCGGTTCCGGTTTCGATTTAGGTTCCTAACAAAATCAAAAAATTGTTTCGGTAAGGTCCCGGTTCCAATATTTTAAATAGGTTCCGGTTAAAATAATTTTTAATTTCGGTTCCAAGCCCTGAACCAAACAATGCCGTTTTTCAAAATTATCAGAAATTTTAATTTTAATTTTTGGAGCCTTTCTGCCCAGAACTTAGTATTCAATATAATGTTCTCTTAGAGCCATGTGTTTTTTCGTCAGAAAATAAAAACCAGACAGCTTCAACTTTCAAGACTAGTAATAAGACCTACGTTATATTTCCTATACGGATTGATGGATCTCTGTCTCGTTCTTGCATAGATATATTTGTGATTTATTTGCACCTACATCAAATATTATTATCCAACCGGTTTTTCTATGAAAATTGGTTTGTCTTGTTATTGCACAGACCCTTTATAATAGCAGCAGTGCACTGTGCACTCCTCTGTGTACCTTTAATGTTTTTACTATATTAAAAATATAATAAATATTATTATAAAAATATAATTAATACTATTAATGGTTAATGCAATTTTATAGATTCTGAGGGGAGAGATGAATGTATTAGATTTAAGACAATGTGATTTTTAAAATTTCACTCATTCGCTCGCAATTCCAACATATATTGTTATTTTTTTTTTGCAACAAAATCAATATTATTCAAAATTGTCGTTTTGCAGTATCCTATATCCCTATAATAAGTTTCCGAACAGCAGTGAAAAATTACTGAAAAATTCGTAAGCCGTATTCACCCTATACGAAAAGATCCACAAAGAGTGGTTTTTTTTTAATTTAAATACCTATGATTTATTATTCACTTTCGAAATTAAAATAATACATTTACAACACTGCAACGACACAACCTTGCGCTAGGTCAAGCGTGACGATGACTGCGACTAGTGTATCGACAAATACTGTTAGACTAACTAGGTCCAATAGGATCAATAGGATCAATAGGATGTCCGTAAGTATTTATTTTTTTTTTGTTTTACGTTTTGTTTATACCAGTCTTGGTATTATACGTACGATTATTTTGAGACCAGGACTACGCTGTACCACTTGAAACGGAGTAAAATTGATTGCATTATTGAGCAATAAAATTCAACTAAATATTATTACCCGCATATTTTATATCCGTAATTAAATGAGGTATAATGTGTTGTAGGTTAATGTTGTAAACAATTTATTGGCTATATCGTCACATCGTTCATAATTTAATATATGCCATCATATACTAATAACTGTAATAAGTAATGCTGTGCAAACAACAAACACATTTAGTACAATTAGGTACCTATATTCTATTGTAAAATTGAAACTATACTTATAAATTTATAATTGCAGTCGACTGTAGCTGGTGTACGCCTGCATATTATAATATTACACACCTGCTATTATGTTTTTATTTTAAATAAAAACAATCGTTGGAAATAAGAACAATTATAATTATTAATTGTTACCAATACACAATAATAAGTATAGGGAGCTAGGTACTTGACTTTATAAGTCTTAATAGTCCTTACAATCACATAACTCATAAGTCATTGTGGTAAATACTCAAATGTTTAAACTTTCTCTGCGACATCAAGTAAAAGTGACGAGGACAACCACATATCGATTAAAAGATGTATAGTATAGGTAGGGTATAGGGTAGGTTTATTTAAAGTAAAAATACTTGAAAATTTAATACAAGGCTATTAATATATTGTTACAATTACATTTGAAAAATATTGAAAATCCTTCGTCACAGTTTTTTTTTATAAGCATTTAAAGTTCAAAAATTGACAAAATATGGAAAAATCACAAAAATTAGCAAATTATTTTGACTTAAGAGTTCATAAAAATTTTCTTTTTAAATCTAAGATTTGAAAATGTAATACAAGATTCCTTATAAGATTTTCTACCTTCATCAATAAAAAAAATGTCTATAAGAAAGTCAAATTAAATTTTTTGGGCGTTTGATATTCACATTTTTACATCATTGGATTTTCACTCGATTCCTCATTTTACGATTTTCTTATTTTGTTGTAATTCAAAAACGAACAACTACCGATTCATGAAAATTTCACTGAATGTTTATTTTATCAATTCTTGTACTTGATAAAATTTTCAAAATGTTTTTACATGTTTTGAGCTGTTTACGGATAATTTCATATTTCAATTTTTTAATTTTTTTTTTTTTCTATGAATATCAAATGTTTTATCTGTTCGGCCAAAAAGTGTAAACATTTAATAAAAGGCTCCTGATATATTGTTACAATAGCAGTTGAAAAATATTAAAAATACATAGTCACAACTTTTTAGATTCTGAGTGAAACGATGAATGTATTGATTTTACAATGATGTGTTTTTTTATTTTTTTTTGTGTCCGTGTACACGATAAGTAGTCGAAATAATGCTTCGATTTTCAACTTCTGTATCTTGTTCGATTGGAAAGTGAATATCGTTGGTGCATTGGGGAGGTCAAAATTTAAATTTCCCAGTAGTCTTCAAAAGCGCTGGGAAAAACAAAAGAAAAATTAAGGAAAAACGGGAATTTTTACGCAAAATCTGTTTTCGAGAAATCGATTTTGGTTTTTGGTGTAACTTTAAAACAAATGACCGTAGATACATGAAATTTTCAGTAGTTGTTTATATTTGCATTTTCTATACACGATAACATTTTCAAAATATTTTGATTTATTTTGAACTGTTTAGGGACATTTTCAGTTTCCAATTTTATTAGTTTTTTTTTTTATGAATATCAATAAAAATTTATTTGTTGAGTAAAAATACTTGAAAATTTAATACAAGGCTCCTACTATATTGTTTCAAAGACAGATAAAAAATATCAAAAATCATTAGTTACAGATTTTTTTTTAAGCATTTAAAGTTCAAAAAATGACAAAATATGGAAAAATCACGAAATTTGCAAATTATTTCGAGTCGGAAATTCTTAAAAATTTTCTTTTCAAATCTGAGATATGAAAATGTAATACAAGATTCCTTATAAGATTTCCTATATTTATAAAAAAAAAAATTCTTTAAGAAAGTCAAATTAAATTTATATGAGCGTATAAAATTCAAATTCTTACAACATTGGATATCCACTCGATTACTCATGTGGCGATTTCCTTATTTTGTTGTAATTCAAAAACGAACAACTGTAGATACCTAAAAATTTCACTGAATGTTTATATTAGCATTTCCTATACACCATACAATTTTGAAAATATTTTGACTGTTTTTGAGCCGTTTACGGACATTTTCAGTTTTCAATTTTTTTAGTTTTTTTTTTCTATAAATATTTTTTATCTATAGACCAGTTGAGGCATTTAGAAAATACTTGCGAAGTGGAATTTAAACAAGCCTCAAATAATCTGAAGGCAAATTTCATAGTTGATATCTATTATAAGAAAATAAAATATTCTTTAATCTCGTTTTTTTTTTTTGATAAATTTAATTTAAAATCTATGGTTGGAACGATCCATGCATACGAGAGAGTGAGAGACCTAAATACCAGGACAATTAGAGAGTTCATTGATTTGATTGAAGACTATTCTGAAGACCGTACAATAACGTTTCTACGTAAAGCAGGCCATAGGATAGATGGATATATAACCCAGCAAATTGGTCCTTATCCAGGTAATTCACAATTTATTTTAATCGCAAAGATTCATCAATTTTTGAATATTTATATTTCATGTATTTTAGGAGAGCCAGACCTTCTTCTGCAAAATATATAATAATTTAATTATATTTTCATACGTGTATATATTATTAAATAAATCTGTAGCATAAATCTGTAGCAAATGAGCTTTATGAAGAAGATGCATCAGTTATGTGCAATATTCAAAATTATTCTTAAGATTTGGCTAAAATGTGTTTTATTATTTATATTGTATTTGTACACTTCATTATGATGCAATATTAAACACAATTTAGGTATATTCCATTAACAACGTATAAGTGCTACAGCCAAGTTGAATACGTGGAAACTGTATATAAAAGAGGTTAATGTTTAACAAAATTGATTGATGAAATGTGTTTGTTTGAAATTTCAGAGATAATAGTTGTAAATGATTATTCCAATATTTTTATAGTATCTAAACAAATCCAAATTTTAGACTTTCATGAACATTTTGAAGCTTTTGAAATTGATGAAAAAAAAAAAAACAGTAGTAGTAATAGTATCTATCTTAAATCGTGTTATTATATAATATTATACTAGCTCTCCGAAAAAATCACTAAAAAAACGGTTTATATCACTAATCATGGATGAAAAAGATCATATCAATTTGGCATGGAATATTCAAGCCTTATATTTCCTATTTGTGATGACACTGTTATATCGAGTTAATTTAAATACGTTCTATAATACGGCATACGAAGAGTTCTATATATTACGGTACGAAATCATTCAAAATCGATCAACGTCTGCAAGCTGCAAATTTAGTATTTTGTGAGTATTAGCTATTTTTCTATGTTCCACGTGTAAATACTAAATACTTTCTTAGAAGACTCCATTTTAAAGTTTTCTTTATTTTAAATTTATTGTTTTTTTAATGAGAAATTATACTCATAAAATTTATTTCGTGAGCTCAAACAATTCATTCAAATCTTTAGTACCTAATAGGTTTGTTGATTATATTAATTCCGAACTCGGTGTTATTTCATTTCAGTACCGTTTATCATACATAAATAAATAAATATATATTATAGTGGTATTTTAACTCATGTAAAGATGAGTATTAATAATAATATAGTTATAAATTAAAAATTAAATTGATAATATAGTATTCTTCATTTAATTTTGTTAACTTGAGGTATAACAATTATTTTTACTTTTTCAGTGAATGAATACTAACCTTGTTAAAATGGATGAATTGCGCCAAAATTTCAGAGAATTATCGGTGTACCCTACACTAAATGATCTCAAAATTTAAGAACCCGATTTACATCCTAATATTATTAAAGGACCTTATCGAAACGTTGAGCATTATTTGGATGTACACTTTAAACTTTTAAGAGAAGACTTTATCGCTCCACTCCGAAATGGAATACAGTCTTATAAAGAACCAATACATTATGAGCACAAAGTTACGTTTAATAATATACATGTATATAATGATGTAGCTTTTGTTTAAGGACAATTTGTCCGCGATAATTATGGTTATCTGATAAATTTCAACAAACAAAATCTATCTAACTTAATCTCCCAGAACCAAATCCTTTACCAAACACAAACAACAATCCACACCATTCGTTTTTATTGGGGATGAAGCTTTCGCCCTACATACAAATTTACTAAGGCCATACCCAGGACGTAACCTAACATCAGTTAGGTTGATATTCGACGTGTATTTAATTATCGATTGATTAGAGCAAAGTGCACAGTCGAGTGTGCTTTCGGAGTACTTGAAAATAAATGGCGTGTGTTGCATACTCCCAAACAAGTGGAACCTGAATTCACTGACGTTATCATTAAAACATGTTGTATATTGCATAATTTTGCGCGTCAAAGAGATGGAATTAATCTTGAAGAAAATGAAACCCATAGCCTAGAACATAGGTTCCCAACCTATGGTCCACGGACCACTGATGGTCCGCGAGACATTGTGAGGTGGTCCGCGAGCCATACTTACAAAATTTAAAAATATTTTTTTAAATAGTGAAACCCATGTTATTATTTCAACCGATAATCTAATCTTTTTTTTTACATTGTTACATTAAGATTAGATTCTATCGGCACAATTTAACAGATTATGTTCAAAGTTGAGTATAATATTGTTGGTTTTTGTTGTTAGTTTCACCATATCCGTATTTCGAAGTCGACGTTTGTGCTCTTTTTAATTGTTCGTGTGTTAAATTGTCGAAATATGGCTCTGAAAAGAAAGTATGACGATGGATACATAAAATTTGGATTTATCGCAATCGAAACTAAACGTGAAATTCGACCACAGTGTGTAATATGTGCCGCCGTTCTCAGTTATGATGCGTTGAAACCCGTCAAGTTAGAACGGCATTTAAAAAGTGTCCATCCTAAATTAAGTGATCGACCACCAGAGTTTTGTCATGGGTAAATCAGAAAATTAAAAAAAAAAAATGAAACTAGGAACAAGTGGTTCAAGATTTGAGTCAAACGAAAAAGTTCTATCTGCGTCATTTAAAATTTCACAATTAATCGCAAAATCAAAGAAACCACATACAATTGGTGAAAATTTATTAAAACCTTGTTTACTAACTGCCATAGAAGAAATTTTAGGTGAGGAAGCTAAAAAAAATTCAAGGAATTCCATTATCGAATAATACTGTGAAAGCTCGTATTGATAAAATGTCTTTCGATATCGATAATCAATTATAAGCATTATTAAAAGCCTCTTATAGAGAAATTATAAATTCTTGTTAGCAGAAAAAAAAAAGGTCTTCCTAGTTTGCGTAAAATTGAGGTGGTCCGCGACCTATAAAATATTGTCGAAGTGGTCCGTGGTGGTAAAAAGGTTGGGAAACACTGGCCTAGAAGATAGATGATAAAGATGCTCATGGAACAGGAACTCGTTCAGAAGGCATTGAAGTGAGGGATTTTTTTGGCAGACTATCTTATGGGCCCCGGTGCCGTAGATTTTCAAAATAAAGTCTTATAAACTGCTTATCAAAAAATATCCTTATTACTTTATTGTTTTATTATTTGTACATTAATAGGTAATAAATTAAGAATTGTAATAGGTTTAGTTGTGTAAATAAAAGAAATTAAAAATAATTACTAATAATATATTATAATACACTCAAAGAAGTACGATTGGTAATGTTGACAATACACAATTGTCATTGCTTAACAATATAAAGTTTTTCACCACGAAAATGTTTTGTTTATTCTATAAGGTAAATGTTGGGGATAATAATATTGTTTTATTGATTTGAACATCATTGATATGGTGTATTGTTAATTATAATATTTCGAAAAATAACTGTTATTTTATTGACAATACAATTTGTAAACTTGATAATTTAGTACCGCTGATTCTACAAATATATTATCAATGTGATAAAATTATTTATAAGTATAAACATTAGCACCGTGTCGTTGGAGGAACAGGATTAGAGACGCGAATCGTGAGCGGCTCGAGGGAGGTGCAATAATGCAATAATTCTACAATAATCTTATCAGTAGGACAAAAATATTCTCAATGTGATAATTTACTACACGGCAACCGGCTATACGTATATTTTGTTCTTTGTTGTTCTCCGTTCTCCGTGCAGACGTGAACTCATCTTTTCTGGATTTCTGCAGATTTTATAGTGTTACAGTGTGTATTACTTATACTAATACTACAAGTATTACTTGCAAGTGTTTTCCAGTGTATTAGCACAGTCAGGTAAGCAATAAAATGATTTGTTTTATTTGTAAAGCAGTTGTCAATAATTTGCATGCTTTGATGGCTCACTTTAAAATAATTCATCTCTTAAAACCGGATAGCACCTATACTTGTTGTGAAGCATTCTGCTCTCAATCATTTAACTGTCTGTCTTCTTTCAAAAGACATATGCTAAAAAAACATGTTACTCAAAATTCTAATAATACAATATTACCACCTAATGAACAGCAAAATAATATACTTAACAATGAAATTTCAAATGAAAATAAAAATAATTATTCTAATGTGAATAATGACAATCAATGTGTTGATAATATAGTTATTAGTACGTTTGATTTTGAAAATGCAGTTGAACTCTTATATCAGTCCACCGTTAAATTTGTTTTAAGTTTACATAATAGTAATAACTTTAATATTAGTGATGTAACGTTCATTCAATCTAAAATGAAAGAAAATGTTTTGAAACCCATGGCTTCAGTTTTTAAAAAAATAGTTGAAAAAGAGATTAATGAACCTTTACAACTTTCTAAAATTTTGAAATTTAAAACAGTTATATTGGACCCTTTTATTTACTGTAGTACAGAACACCGCTTAAATAATTGGTTAAGACGGTAATATCACATATTATGATGAAAAATAACTATCCTCTGTCACACGAGAGATCATACCTGTTCTGCGCATATAGAATTAATCTCGTCGTCCGCGGTTGTCGGCCTGAGCCGTCGTATCCCCTCCATGTCGACCGACGACGGACGACGAAATCGAGCGGCGGCGTTACCGACGCGCTGCCGACGTCTGCCGTCGGCAGCGCCGTTTGGTGGGGGATGAGCGGAACCGACGAGTTTTCGATTTCTCGCGGCATGATCTCTCGTTGGACAGAGTATAAAGGTGTTTTGCTACCATTAAAACAACAATTCAAATGGTATTTTGAACATGAAAATAATTTGAAATTGCACTATGATGAACTGTTAAAATATGAGCAAAGTGATATTGAGTAAATTTCAAATTTTGTGCAAGGTAAATTATGGAAAGAAAAAATAACATTAGGTATATGAGGGTAAAATAGTATTTCCATACTTCTTATATGTGGATGAATTTGAAGTGAATAACCCCCTAGGCTCACATGCATATGTTCAATCAATTGCTGCTGTATATTATAACTTTCCGCTTGCTACAATAATAATCCTAAGCTCTCAAGTATTTTTACTAATAAAATCTATTGATATTAAAGAGTTTGGAAATGATAAATGTTTTAAAATTTTAATAAATGAATTAAATGAACTTGAAAACATTGGATTGAACACATCTACTGAACATGGCGATTTTCGTGTACATTTCCTACTTGGCCTGGTGTTAGGTGACAATTTAGGATTAAATACCTAGTTTACTAGAATTCAGTAAATCGTTTTCTGCAAACTATTATTGTAGATTTTGTAAAATCCATAAATCTGTAGCAAATGAGCTTTATGAAGAAGATGCATCAGTTATGTGCAATATTCAAAATTATTCTTAAGATTTGGCTAAAATGTGTTTTATTATTTATATTGTATTTGTACACTTCATTATGATGCAATATTAAACACAATTTAGGTATATTCCATTAACAACGTATAAGTGCTACAGCCAAGTTGAATACATGGAAACTGTATATAAGAGAGGTTAATGTTTAACAAAATTGATTGATGAAATGTGTTTGTTTGAAATTTCAGAGATAATAGTTGTAAATGATTATTCCAATATTTTTATAGTATCTAAACAAATCCAAATTTTAGACTTTCATGAACATTTTGAAGCTTTTGAAATTGATGAAAAAAAACAGTAGTCAATGATTGTAAAATAAACAATATCAATGAATTTAGTGGTCCACCTATAAACATCATAAAAACTGCAACCGGAAAATTGATAATTCGCTTAAAGGAATTTTTTTCCTAATCTATGATAATTTTTTAACTATATTTTTGTACATACTAATTTTAAAGCTTATAAACATAATTTGTTTATAATCATCATAAAAACTGCATCAAGAAAATTGATGATTCGCTCAAAGGAATTTTATCTTAATCTATAATAATTTTTTAATTACCTATATTTTTGTACATATTAGTTTTAATGTTTATTTTTGATTATATTATTTTAACTTTAATTACACAGGTGCTTGTTGTTGACGCTTCTTTTAGTGCTTAGTGTATAGCATTAGTGTTAGATTTAAGCTATGGCAGACCAAACCAACGAGGTTATGTAAGATAATAGTGCTTATAATATTCTAACACCTGATGATAAAATTTAAAATAACATTGTAATTGAAGTTTTAATTTATAATATTTTTTTTATTTTTATTTAAAATATAATTACAATCTATACAACAATTTAGTACAATAAGTAATTTAGATATAGTATTACATATCGAGAATAACAGATGGGGAGGGCACTCAGTAGTGCCACCCGACAGATTAAATTAGAAAGCCTCTAGGCCAGGAGCGTTTTAAACGTCTCTGGGGGTTATCAGGGATTGTTAGAGAAGATATGCGTTTTATTAATGGATTGTAATGTTCGATTAACTTGGAATGAAAGGAGACGTAGTGAGACTTTGTTAATTGAGAGAGCGATGGAATATTTAGATCTTTGTGGAGAAATCTATTTTAAATGTGTATGATCGTTTCATTAACAACGAAATTAGCTTGATTGATTATTTAAAAACATTAGGATGTAAGTTTATTTCAATTTAATTATATATCGAATTATTTTGTATTACGATTTTTAATTAATAGTAAATTATTTTTTTAATTACCTAATAACAATAAAATATGTTCAATTTTTAACTGTCAATCAAATGTGTGCGGTTTTGAATTATCGACCTTCCAAATTTCACTTTTTAACAATAGAATAAATGTGTGCGGTATTGAACGATGTAAAATGTGTGGTTATGAACGGTAAGTGTGCGGTTTTGATGACCGCCGAAGCCCTCGCTCGACCAAAACGACTGCTGGCGATAACACAGAACGCAGAAAACATCAACCCAATCACAGAACGCATAGCCATCGCATGGGGGGGGGGGTTAGGCACTGTTCAGCGGCTCAGTCTGCATGGGCGACGCTGTTCAATCTTAACCTGAACTGAGTAAACTGGCGTAGCCTGGGTGGGGCACAGGGGCCATGCCCCCCAATTGGCCGTATCATATAGTGTATAAAAAATAATCGTAAATAATTAATTTTGGCTATGTACCGGTTTTGAGTATAAATTTCAAAAAAAAAATGCATGTTTATTATTTATCAAAACACCGTAGATTGATAAGCGAGTCACTTGCACTACCGGACAACTTATTTACAGATTAGGTTAAGTTATACTAAGGTTCTACGTATAATGGGTATGCTATGCCACCATTTTGCGACTCATCAATGATTAAATGATAAAATAAAGGGAAAGAAATTCATATTAACATAAGATTATTAATGGTGGTATAAAATGGTCTTAGTTATAAATGGTAATGCTGGTGTTAGTGACGTGATGTTGATATGTGTCGTTGAAAAGAATAAAGATTATAATTAATATTCTATAACATTACAAACTTTACAAGCCCCATCCGCGGTAGAAGTTGATAACAGCAAAATAGAGAGATTGCAAAGTACAAAGGTAACAATGGATGTTTGATTCGTATTTCGTTTAACGTTAAGAGGCCGTTCTGGTACGAAAATTCGGCCTTAAAAACATGGTTTCGTACTTCCCATTTTCCTCAGCTCTCGTTAGTCGTAGAAACATGATTTTTTCACCAAAATAAACGTGAGAAGTTTATCTAGGTTTTGTTGTTCCAGATTTTCGAATAAAATTATTTTAAAATTATTTTTTTAAACCGATTATATTTGCATTTGAAATTTTCAAAATTTTCAAAATTTTTAAAAAATCATATAAAATAGACAAAAAAAGATATCTAAAATCTGGAACGACAAACCTAGATAAACTTCTCACGTTTATTTTGGTGAAAGAATCATGTTTCTACGATTAATGAGAGCTGAGGAAAATGGGAAGTATGAAACCATGTTTTCGGTAAGAAAAACACGATTTTACAGCCGTCATGTGCTACTCTACTGACACTAGCGGCAGCGTTCAAAAATAGTATTAATACCACTACCCGACTGTAGCCATACCGCACCACAGTAGGGATGGGAAGACCCGGTCATTTTCGTGATTCGGATCATTTGAATCAGTTCACTAAAAAGATTCGGTTAAAAGATTCGTTCGTGTTGATTCGAATCTTGAAAAACCCCACTAGATCATTTACAGACGTGTAGCTCATGAGTTCTTTGAAGTGAATTGAACGAGTCGAATCAGCTATCAGTGTTTGATTCGGTGACTCTTGACTCAGTATAACCAACATTTCAAATTTAATTCACAAACGAAAAAATCACTAATCAGCAGTATACTACACAGTAGACGTGTCCCAATGTCTCGTACATACACAATGGTTATGGTACATAGGCGTGCGCAGAGTGCAGACCTGCATTTCGGGGGGTTCCTACAATATTTTTGGGCCCTTTTCTTAACTTGGGCCCTCTCCTAACAAGACATGTACATATTTTAGTAAATTATATTGAACAAAATAATATTACTTACTTAGTTACATGTTTTATTTAACATTCTAATACAACAGTTATAGATTTATAATAATATGCGCCTATTACTTAAATTATTAAACTCATTAATAAGTAAAAACTAAAACTACTTCAACATTAGAGGCCATTTCTTGTTCCGTAAAAAGTAAAATTAATGATTCGAAACGGCCTTGGGCCATGATACTTCATTACTTCATTTACTATTCACAATATTTAATTTCAAACAGTGGCGTGGCGAAGTGAAATATTTTATCGGGCAATTCATTTTTTGATTGACCTACCACCCAGTGGCTTATCCAGGGGGGATAATATATCATATTAAAATGTAGTTAGTTTTGTACTACAATATTTCTCACTAAATCCAGAACTCACTCACCCATGACCCACCCACCCATTAAAATTATCGGGCACCTGCCCTTCAAAATCGCGGTCAACACGCCACTGATTTCAAATATACCTGTTCATATGAACAACTTGTATCGGGTACAATGCTAAACATCAAATAAACATTAAATATTTTAGGGCCCCAATTAAATGTCAGGGGGTGCCCAGGCACACGCGGAACACCCCGTGCGCACGCCTATGTTATAGTAGTATGGTACAAAGCAAAGTAATAATATAAATATGATATCATTACATAAATATCAGTATCATTACCAAAAATATTTATTACAGTTATCGTTATTATCAGAAGTAGATACCAAAATTATTGAACGACAAACGTTAAAATCAAATCAACACAGTAAAAAATGTTATTACGAAAATACGAAAACGGCAGCTAGGCCGCGATTGCGGCCGGGCCCCAGGGCTTTATTTCTGTAATACACTTAAATACTAATAGAAAATAGTTGACATAATTACTAAATATATTTGTTGTTTTATTAATTATTAGTTTATAATTTAATTGTAACAAACTTACAACTACTTACAATATTATTGATTTTATCAATTAAAAAATGTTATTATAAAATTACTTTTGTTTATTATTTCTTTAATTATATATTTATATAGTTACCCATTTAACATAAAATAACTTTTAATTTTTTTATATCAAGATATAAATAATTATAAGGTTACTATACAATTGGTATAGACTAACTAGATCTGGTTAATCAAAAAAAATGATAAAAATTAAGTCAACACACATTTGTTTGTATACATAATATAATATGATATTATAAATTATAAAAAAATAATCTCTTTATCTAAGAGATTTACATAAAAATGGTATATTAGTACAATTATAGAAAAAATGATAATGGGTAATAATGGAGCATAAATATTTTTAGACAGATACTGTATATTTTGTCTATATTTAAAACATCTACAATCCGTGTTTTTATTTGACAAAATATTCATTAAGCGAATCTTTTGATTTATTTATTCTTGTGACAATTTCATATTTATTCCTGCAAAAGTAAATAAAAAAATTAAAAATGAATCGTAAAAGAAGTAGTGTTTGGAATCATTTAAGTATAAAATCAAATACGATAGCTAAATGTGGTTATTGTCCCCAAGAAGTTAGCTATAGTGGAGGATCTACAGGAAATTTAATAAGGCACCTGAAGACCAAACATATTGGTGTACATTTAAATAGACAGTTGAGGGAGCAAAGAGACAACGTTGTACTAGCTCAAGAAAATGAACCGACAGCAGAGGAAAAACTCTTGGGTCCTCTGCTGTAAAAAAATGTTCCTCTGCTGTCGGTTCAAACGGAAAAAAAAAAAAAAAAATAAGCTCAAGAAAATGAAGATGATCCTATTGCTGTCACTCCGTCAAATGCCGAGAACGCTAAGAACATTGACGATGTACCTTCTTCGAGTAACGTTCAAAATCAACCAACTCTTTTAAATTATATTTCCTCGGTGGCCACTCAAAGAACAGCTACAGTGAGTTCTGCTTCAAGTATGCCAGTTGTAAGTACAGTCACATCATTATCAAGTCAAACATCTATGTCAAGTTACATAATAGCAAGTAAGCCAATTTCCATTTCTAAATCTAAAGCTATCGACCAACAAATTACTCGTTTCATTGTTAACCATTTCCATCCTTTTTCTCTTGTTGAACAAGTCGAGTTTCGAAAGTTAATAAAAATGCTTGTGCCAAATTATACAGTTCCAACAAGAAAAACTGTTGCAAATAGCTTGTTGATGCAAATGTATGAAAGTGTGTATCAAAAAGTGAAATTAGATGTACAAAATGTTTCAGCTGTGAGTATCACAACAGACGCCTGGACATCTACTAACAATCAAAGTTTCATGTCAGTTACAGTACACTTTATAAATTCAGATACACAATTATGTTCTCGTTTATTAGGTTGTTTTTCTTTTACCGAGAGACATACTTCTGACGAGTTGAGTAAATTTCTCTTGAGCGTGGTGAATGATTGGGGGTTGGAAAATATGGTAGCTGCTGCTGTTACAGATAATGCAGCAAATATCAAGTCAGCAATTAAAAATAATGGTTGGAGACATATCTCTTGTTTTGCCCATGTCTTGAATATTGCTGTACAAAAAGGTTTAGAATCAGTTCATCCTATAATAGCAAAGGTCAAAGGTATTGTTGAATATTTTAAACGAAGTACTTTAGCTCTTAATAAGCTCAAAAATCTTCTACAACAAATGAGATGCGAACAACTTAAATTAATTCAGGATTGTAAGACCAGGTGGAATTCCACGTTTCACATGATCCAAAGGATTCTCAAGGTGAAAGATTCTGTACTTGCAACTTTGGCTGTAACAAATAATGAACTGAACAACATTACCAGCCAAGAATGGCAATTGCTTTCTCAGTGCTGCAACGTTCTATCCATTTTCAATGATGTCACCGAAGAAGTGAGTGCTGAAAAAATAGTAACCATTTCAAAGGTAGTTTTATATTATGGATTTTTGGATGAACATTTAACATCAAACATTTATAAAAACGATACATTGCACGAAGTTGAAAAAATGGCAACCGAGATACAAAATGTTCTACGTGCTTACTTTGGAAATCTTGAAGATAAAGATGTTGTAGCCCAATCTATTATTCCTGATCCTCGCTTCAAAAAACAAGGGTTTTCTTCGGACAGCAAATTTTTAGTGGCCAAAACTGTGCTTAGTAGGAAACTTCAAAGCATTCGAATTGGAACTGAAAACACTGCAGCTGGCCCAAGTACTGCAAATCCACAAACGGCACAAACAGCAACAACTTCATTATTATGGAAAACATTTGATAATAAAGTAAATTCATTGATTGGTCAAAATAATCCAACTGTTGCAGGAATAGTAGAATTGGATAAATATTTAGCTGAGACGCTAATACCACGCAGCATGGACCCATTGCAGTGGTGGTCAGAGCGTAAACACATTTATCCACGATTATTTGAAGTTGTAAAGAGGAGATTATGTATACCAGCAACATCTGTACCGAGTGAGAGAGTCTTTTCTAAAGCAGGTCAGGTGTTAACTGACTTTAGAAGTCGTTTGACAACTGACAGGGTTGAAAAAATTGTATTTGTTCAATGTAATCTAAAGTAAAGTAAACAAGTTGTTATTTGTATTTAAGATTTATAATTTTATATTATAGGTACCTACCATTATACATTTATTATTATCATACTCATTATTATTAGGTATTATTATTATCCTATTATACAATAGTTGTTTATATTAATTAATATTTTATTAATTATGTTCAGTTTTCAGTAGGTAATAAGTATTTATACTACACTACTAATGCTATTTTTTTTCTTATTAATATTATGACTTGTTTAAATAATTAAATATGATATGATGTATCATGTTTAAATATACCTATACAAAATACATACCAATGTGTCAATTTTTGATTTCCCTTTATTGAGATTCGGATCTTGAGAGACCATAAAAAATAATGTAAATAATTTAAATTTTTAAAAGGTACTGTTACCGTATTAATGTAATAATAAGTAATAACTATAAACTATTTTACAAAATTATTTTGTAAAAATGCAAATTAAATTAAATAGTGGATTCTAAAATTCTAAATAATAATAAATATTAAATAATAAATAATAAATACTGATTAAGTGATAAACTGTGATTACTGATTACTGAATACCTACTGATGTCTGATATCGTCGTACGACCATAGAACACTGAACAATACGACGTACGTCTATCGCCCTTGGTGTATAATATTATTGTCAATTGTGTTCACTGATCAGTGCTCGCCTGGTTGATGGTTACTGTGTACTGTGAAGTATGTACAATGTAAACACTGTAAATTGTGACGAGTGTGACAGACCGAAACTATACTGGATCAACCATAGACATAATATAGATGGACTGCGCGTTCCTCCCCCCTCGCCATCAATAAATTCAGCCATAATAACAAGACATGAGAAGGTAAAATAGCATGGATAAAACATTTTTACAGTTTTTATTCCAAGGTATATTTTGGTTTAAATAAGAGTGATAACTGATAAGACTATTGATTCCGTATTTCCGTATCATGGAGGAAAGCTGTTAGATAAACATTTTTCCATGATTATTTACCTTCTACATAAGTTTATTATTACTGACATGATAAGGGCTGAACGCGCAGTCCATCTATATTATGTCTATGGGATCAACGAATCAACGAACCAGTATATAGGGTCTACACTACAACTACGGTACCGGGTATAGGGTCAGTTAATCAGTTCACAGTTGAGTCAACTGATCAGAAGAGCCAATTAAACTATTGAACGAATCAATTTTTACATCGGATCTGAATCAGTTCGGATCTTTGTCGCGATTCGTTCAAAGTGAACGGGTCGTTCGCGAACGACACATCCCTACACCACAGTTCAAAACCAGATTTCTTATCGCGATTCGCGACCGGCCCGCTTGCAGTTTATAAATAATCGGTACGAAAACAATTATGTTGGTGAAAGAACTGTTTTCATAATACCCATATCGAATTTTATATTTCGTATATTATTATTATTCTGCTTGCCGTGTTTTACACAAACTAAAAATCTCACATCCTATAATTGTTATAAATCGTTTAAAAAAATTATAATTTAAATAATTATGTTTTTAATCTTGTAGAGAATTCAACGAGAAAATTATTTTTTTTTAAGTTGACTAACAAAATATGAAATTTAATTCAGTATAACAAAAAAAAACCTTGATACATATTATGAATAAATGGAAGCCTGATGAATAAAGTGACCAGCGTAATCAATGTACCTATACTCCTTTTCAAAAGAGAATATAACGGTCAGCGACCAATTTATGTCAGGCGGCGCATATTCCCCACCAATTTTCTATTGATAGCATGATCAAGTGGTTCGCGACGCACCAATCGAATCATTCAACATAAGCGAAAGCGGTATATTCTCTTTTGAAAAGGAGTATAGGTACAACGTAATTCGACTTATAATAATTAAAACAATAAACCCCTAATTATATGAACTGAAACACAATTGTTTATATAAAGCAGTCAAATACGAACTGTATTTATTTTTAATTAGTTAGTAAGACGTACATTCCTATATTACAGATTATTTATTTATTTATTTATTTATAATGTATTAATATATAAACGGGTTGAACCCAATCAGTGGCGGATTTGATTCGTCTTCTAGGGGGGGGGGGGCAACACTTTTTTTTAAGTTAGTAATAATACAGTTATATATTATATATTTTGTAAATTATTGATATTAATCGTATTACCATAGATTTTAATGAGATAATATACTAGTAAAACTAATTATTTATACATACATAATATGTATAGGCTGTTACTCCGTACACATATCACTACACAGTGGTCATCACCTATCACGGTCTAATCAATCAGTGAGTCAGAGTAAAGGCGTCATAGTATGACCCTATTTTAAGACTGTATGATAATTTATGGGGCCATAACAAAGTTACGGCCATATTCAAAAATTGCTCAAATTATCAATTTGCAATTGATGCAATACCTAAACATACCCATTGGCTTACTCACCTATTAGATGAGGTCGCCTGAGTTCGGACAAATTTCACGGTCGATTTTCAACCTTATAAGGATCATATGTCCACTAGACATTTAAAGCATTATGAAAATAGATATTCATAATGCATACGATAAAACAAATGTCTTACCTTTTTTTTTTATGTGTTTGGTACATTTTTTAAGACATTTTTATTTAAATTTAACTATTTTTAACAATAATTATTATTTTAAATAGGTAGTGTATAATAGTATTTATGAATTAATTTATAGAACAACCATTAGCAATGATTTAAATAGCTCCATCTGTAGAAAAATATTGTATTCTTTTTTATATGCATAACAACTAATGAGTATAAAAAAAATAGAAGATTGTCGTAATCGGTTTTATTTATAGTTCAAAAATCAGAACATAGATGGCTCATGTCAATTAAGAACGATGTACATTATTCATAATCCTATACTAAACCAATACTAAAATACATCGTAATACTTCTTCAAAAATTTAACAATAGCACCTTAACTTAAAAATATTAACGTTAATATTTTAAAGTGATAACACTGATAAAAGTATAGTATAATAGAAAGCGTATAAGCGTATGTACTATTATGCATGGTGTATTTCGGGTTTTCCCGTGACCGACCGCGACAGTATCTATATAGCTACCTGTAATCTGAAATGTTTTCTATTGTGTGTGTGTTTTATCGTCGGCGGCGTGTAGATATGAATTGTTCCGAGAATTATCTCCATAATATATAGGATGGTTTTTATCCCAATATTATTTTTTGCATTCCAATTGTTGTAATAAAAAAAGTTATAGAATTTTCGAGAAATGTTCAAAGGTATAAAATGCGAAGTTCGGTACGACGTATTCATAAGTTAATATAAAGCGCCACAATCTGACCGAGTCAGTCATTATCGAGTTAATCGCGCCGTCTCGAGTTTTGTTTGTTATATTTATTTATACAGTTTAATTTGTATCGGTTTAGTGTTTTCGTATTTTACTTTACCTACACACTAACCATAAATACTTGGTATTGTGTTATGATTGTGCAGTGTTCAGTACTGAATATTCTTTAATTTTTTTTAAATTTAGTATAATGCCGCGGAAATCTAACCTACACAATCAGTATAGTAAAAATGCACGACTTATGCGTGCTAATAGAGCTCATGAATCGGAAGAACAAATTGCAGCTCAACAAATCAGAACAGCAGAAATTCCCGGACAAGAGTCTCGAGAACAGCGTGATGAACGTCTACGACAAAATATATTGAGAATCGGCGCGAGAACGGCACATAGCCACATTTAGAGAACTTGACAGAGAGCGACAAAAAACCAACCGTGCATTAACACGTGCATCATTCGTTCGCCTTGAGTTCGAATATGCACCAGATATCAATTACATCGCACATACTAAAATTATAATTGGTGCAATGGATAAAATATGCCAATATTGTCAAGCGTTAAAATTCCGCAATGAAACGATTGGTATGTGTGTGCATCTGGAAAAGTTGTACTGGCGAACATACATCGTGACACGAAATTTTTATATATACAGATAAATAATACAGGGTGATTCATTTTTGTTGAAAAAATGAAGTAGACTGAATCATGGTTGAAGAATCCAAAGGCACAGGAATACTTCATCAGAACCTTATTTTATACTTATATTATTTATACTTTATTTAGTTAATGAGTGAAATGGTTATGAAGAAAAATAGTTTAACACTGCTACCTACAAAACGTAGTTCAACAGTATTATTAGATTTACCGAAAAGCCATAAAAGACATAAATCAAAAGACTAACCTAACCTAATTTGTATTTATTGTAATGACTTTTTATTTTATACCTATATTATTTATACTTTATTTAGTTAATTAAGAAATTAGAATTAAGAATAATATAATATTATATTATTATTATATTTAACATGGATTATAGGTGATACTATCATATTATGTGATAACATTGATAAAAAAAAAATGATAACACTTTGGTGCCGTAATCGACTGTATTTATAACGACCCTTTGCAGCAGTATATTATCAGGTAGGCAATCTACCTGCGGTAGATCGCGGACCCCTGGCTGTTTGTAAGTAAGCGCGTAGATTTAACTCTAGAGTATTAAAGTTATAGCAAGTTTATCGTGTTCCACATATAATGGATTAATAAAATCTATTAATACAAAATCTTAACCTAACCCAACAGTAGCTCTATTCTGTAACTCGATAAGTAGCCTTATCGATAAATTTCGATTCGATACGCTATCGATAGTACTTGTTATCGACAAATGTCGAGAAGACCGATTCTGTAAAAAATTGATAACGAAAAAAATTGTTAAGCGATAAAATACTATCGAAAATACACGATTGAAGATATACAGGTTGCACATAGACTACTGATAAGGTGAAATACAAAATGACTACCAATAATTAACCAGTGGCGCTCCAAGCGGCAGTATTACAATTAACCGATTATAGATATATAGGTGTAAAATTAGTTCTAAATGTCGACACATATGGTTGAGTGTTGACATTAAGCGCCACTAGTTAATTATTAACAGCTGATTTTTATAGTCACTTTGTAAATCAATCTGGAAGCGGTTTACTATAGGGCGATATGCAACCTGTATATCTAATCGTGCGAAAATATCAGATACGGTAACGGACCTTTTATTATGGCCGATAAGCCTTATCGAGTGTTCATAAATATTTGTAACTTTGTTTTTGTGATTTTGAATGAATTTTTCTCTAAGTCTTAACATTTGTTAAATCAGTTAGTTAAACAAAACTATTATGGCTATATACTTTTTGGGATGGGAATTGGAAGTTTTAGAAGAAAGAGTAAGGCTTATTGAGAGACGGTTAGAAAGAAGAACATAACGCGATACACAAAATCCTTACGAACTACCGAGAAGTGAGTTTATGGACATATTTCGCCTAAGTCCCGAATTATCTATGGACTTAACAAATAATCTTCGGCCGTTTCTTAAACGGGATCGCAATTCTGGAATCCCAGTGGAAATTCAAGTAATTGTTTTACTAAAATTATTGAATTCTATACTCTATATTTTTAGAATACCTAATTTCAAAAAAGAAAAAGAAATATCATATTTTTCTTACAATTCTTATTGAACTTACATAATTAATAAATGTAATACGTTTATATTATAATACAGAATAGCAATCAAGTGTTTATTAAGACAATATTTAAATGCTTGAATTGTAGGTATTAGTTGCAGTGTACTTTTATGCTAAAGGAAGCTATCAACGTGCTACTGGCGATCATTTTGATTTGAATGTTAGCCAGCCATCAGTGAGTAGGTGCTTGCATGCTGTCACTGATGCTATAAACAATACGCTGTTACGGAAATGGGTCAAATTTCCTATGACACTTATAGAAAGAAATAATGCCCGCGAACAATTTAGTAATGCACCACAGCCATTTGAAGGTGCCATTGGGGCTATAGATTGTACATTTATTAATATTCTGGCGCCTAAGGTACATGAAGAAGCTTTTGTTAACCATCATGGTAATCACTCATTGAACGTTCAAGCAGTATGTATTTTAGCAATATGTTTTTATAACCTAATATTATTCTTAACAAATTACTTTTTCAGATAGTAAGTCCAAAACTAAAAATATTGAATATAAATGCCAGATATCCAGGAGCCAGAAATGATTCCTACATATGGAGCACTTCTCCTATTCGTCGTGCCATGGAATACCATTATAATAATGGTGAACGCCACACTTGGCTTATTGGTAATAAATTTGCAAATTTAAAATTAGAATATTTTTAAAATATTTAGATTATACATTTGTTTGTATACTTAATAAGTAGGTGATTCTGGCTACCCATTAGAGCCTTGGCTCATGACGCCTTTACCTCACTACAGAGAAGGCACGAGACAGTTCAAATACACAATTAAACACTGCAAAGCTAGAAATGTTGTGGAGAGATTTTTTGGAGTTTTTAAAAGTGTATGGAGGTGCTTGTCATATCAACGTGTATTAATGTATTCACCTGAAATGGCAGGTAAAATTGTAAATGCATGTGCTGTCCTTCATAACATGAGAATTCATTACCGTGTGCCAGTAGAAGAGGAAAATATTGACAACTGGATTAATGATGATTATGGTGTAAGACATTTAGAAGATAATGAAATGATGGAGAGAGGTGGACCTAGAGCTGTAGCAATGCGGATTCAAAAGCAAATCATGCAGAATTGGTTTCCTGATTATATTGATGGTGATTTATGAAAACAATAAATAACATACAGCAAAACAACCCTTTATTTTTATCTTTTAAAAAATTAACAAAATTAAAATTGTGTACTAAATGTATAATTATGTATATGTAACTTAATATAGGTACCGTCAACCCGGGTGACTTGGAACGATTTTCACCTTTTAACTACTGTAACTCATTCATTATTGATAATTAAATTCTGTAAAAAATCATGCAGTGTCGCACAAATCCAAGGAATAGATTGAGCAAAAAAAAAACTAAGGTCTTAAGTAAATTAAGGTAAAAAAAAAATAAAAAGTGCTTGTTCCAAATCACCCGGATTTTTGGGTGACTTGGTCACTGAAGGTCACTTGGAACGCTACAAATATTTAAAAAAAAAAAAAAAGTGTTAAAAACCATATTTTTTCGGTATAATTATCGAAATTTAATACCGTAAATTTCGGTACGTACGACTGCCAGGTATTCATTTATAATAGTTCCAAGTGACCCACTTTTTTTTACCTAAAATAAAAACAACCCTGAAAAATGTAAATAATATTATTTCCTAATTCTACTAAGCGATTAACACTAACAACACATTAGGAATTCACTAAAAAATAACAATACCTTGATTTTAGAAGCTCAAGTTACACTTTCAAAGCTCTTAAATTAGGATTTGAAAATTTGGATTTTTTTTACTAAATTATGGTTGTATCACATGGCTTATTGATAAGAGATAACACATTTTCGATGATAACAAAACTTTTACAAAACTTTCCGAAAAATATTTTTGTGGAGACAGAATTTTATTTCCCTTATCTAGCATAAAATTAACCGCTGTTATCAAAAAATCACGTAATTGTTCCAAGTCACCTCCAAGTTCCAAGTCACCCGGGTTGACGGTATATTAAAACAAAACAACATATATATTTTTTTTATCTAGACTTTTAACAAATAAAAATATAAATTGTATGTACCAGGAAATAATAAAACAAAACAAAATATAGATATGATCTTCATTTTTTTAACTAAAAATATTAGAAATAACAAAAAAATTAATTTAATTTAGAAATTACAGTTGATAATATGGTAACAAGTTTCTCGTCCATTAACAGTCTTTTTTCATCATTTTCAGCCATTTTGTTAAGTGCAGCAGCCATTTGCTTATTGCTTTCAGCAAACATGTTTAATGAAGTAGTTAAGGGGCCTGCTCGCGATTTTTCAAATTTTCCGCAATTCTATAAAATTTGAAAATTAAATTTTATATTTTAGTTGCCACCTCAATTATAAGACTTTTCCACTAATCTACTACCCAATACCTATTTAGGGGGGGTTGATAGGGTGTATTATATCGGTCAAAACACAGTTTACAGGAAAAACTCTCACACCTCGTAGATTGGTCCGATTTCCGTAATTTTTTTTTTGTTAGATAGAGGAATATTTTTTACAGGGCGCATTGGACTTCGATTTTTGATTACGTCGCTAAAAACAAAAAATAATACAAAAACTAAAAAGTTGTAAAAATTGATTAAATTCAAACTTGTAACATAAGATTTAGAAAAATAATGTTGAAAATCCAAGTCCAATGCGCCCTGTAAGAAGTCTTCCTCTATCTAACAAAAAAAAATTACGGAAATCGGACCAATCTACGAGGCGTGAGAGTTTTTCCTGTAAGGCATGTTTTTGAGCAAAAAAACAGGTCGCATGCAGGCCCCTTAACAACTAAAATATACATTGATATTTAGTTCAGTTATCTATAATATAGTTAAGTAGATTTCAATATAATATTAGAAAAGTACCTCCAATTGTTGATTGTTAGTTTTAGCTAAATCAGTGAATACCGCACGTGCATTGCTTAACTGTGTATTAAGTTTGACATCTAGAATTAAAAATGTTTATTAGTGCAACTAGATAAATCGTTCAATATTTGTAATTCTTAATTAATTACCCCTTTTAGTCTTTTTTAAATTAGTGGTTGGTGTGTTTGAAAATTTAGAATGTTTGGCAGATATGTTTGGCAATATGGGTTGTTTGCCAGATGAATGATCAATGGATGTCTCAGAAATAAAAGATGTATTTGATTCAGCAGGTACATTTATTAGAATGTGTGGTGTCATTGTCTTGTTGGTTTCTATAAGTGAACTTATTTCATTTGTACTATCATTTATTAGTTCAACAGTATAATAAGGATCGTCAATGATTTCCTATGCATCAGCTTCTAAAAGTAGAAAATATAAACACAAAATACATATACTAATTAACAAATCGACTGTAGGTACCATTTTTTTAGAAACAAAATATTATATTGAAAAATAGAATGAGCTACACAAATTATATACTTAATTTTAGTTTATAATACTTATATATTAAATAAAATTACTAACCAATGATATCTGGATCCTGGTTTGGCCTAATGGTGAGTGGAGTAGGTACTATATTCAAAATATCATAATTACCACCAGCCAATTTCTCAACATCATCAGGCTAAAAAACAATAAATTTTAATTCTATAACAAATAAAAACAATAAATAAATACTAAATTTCAATACAAACTAACCAGTTCTTCTGGAAACGAATCTGGACATACTGTCCCCTCAACATAACCGTATCCTACTAGTCCTAAAACCTTATTATCAATCTCAGATAACTCAGCTAATTCAATTTGCTTATTGCCAGTTCGTTTCTTATCATTTCTTAAAGCAGATGCTTTTTTTGAAACTTTGGTTTTTAAATCTCTCCAAGACTAAAATTAAATATAAAGATAAAAATTAATGAATTGTGTTGAATAGTTTTACATTTTTAATAATGCAAATTTAAACTAAGAATGTTTGAAAATATGTTACACATTTAAAAACCAGCAACAAAAAAGTAGTTTAAGTAGTTTTAGTAATTTATTCAACATTACTATCATATTAATTTTATACTGGAGAAAAATTGAGTATTTTGTTAACATTTTAGCACATAGGAGGTTTTGTTAATGATATTTTCATTATTGCTTAGTGAAATCTTTTTTCTTTTTTCTATATTTAACTAGGTACATTTACCAAATAATCTCTAAATTACACATTCTTAAAACAATTTTTATGCATGCCACTAGGATTTAAAGAACTTAATACAATATAATTACAAATTGGTATCAGTGAAACTCCAAACAGAGACTGCTACAAGTGGACCATAACATTAATTTTCAATGATGTTATTTATTTTTGGGCAGCAATAGTATAGGGTTCATAGTACATTATAAAATTGTATTAAAATACCAAATTCCTTCTTTTTTACTTTGGTAGGTATTGCTAATTTTTTAATAATATAATAGAACACTTAAAAATAAATCATTCTGAATAGATAACAAATAAATAACTTTAATCAGTTTTAATAAGTAAATGTTGGGATTTAGAGAAAATTCAATACCTTCCAAAAAGATTATTTGAGAATCTAATACGCTTTTAAAATTGTTGGGTAAATTTTATATTTCATTTATTTTTAATGTATTATGGACTGAAAATCTTAAAATTACGAATAAAATCAATCACATACCTATGTTTTCAAAAAAACTATCAAATAATATTAGTTTTTTGAGTCCTAAATAAGGTATGAAAAATGAAAATTTTGAAATTTTAATCATAATGTCAATATATACATTTGATTGAACTTGTTATTTTTTTAATTTAATAAAAACTTTACATTTTAAATGATATAATAAATATCATCAATCATCATATATGCATACGGAATTTTAAGTAAATATACGAGTATTGCCTTTATTAAACAAAATATAATTAAACATAATTCACGTGTAAAATATTAAATAAAGATAAAAAAAAACTCCTTTATACCTAGTTAAGTTTAGGTAGTATTTTATTATTGCTACGTTATAAAATGTATGTTTCTACTTGCCTCTTTCCACGACTTAACATTTTTTTCCTTCACACCAGGATTACGAAGGTTATTTAAATTTGTAACCAAGTCTTCCCATGAGCCAGCTAAACTATTTTTCCCATTCAAAGTATGAAATTTGCCCGTAGCAACGTGTGGGTTTTGCACCATATAATCTACCATGAATGACAGCTGTCTGTCATTCCTTCTCCCTTGTCTTGCCTTCTTTAAATTTGTCTCTTGCTCATTTTGAGATCCACTAAGGGTATTCAAATAATAATCAAAAGTTAATAAATAAATGTATAAAAAACACCTAAATAAAATTGTGTATTTCAAAAACCCAAATAGGTAGTCAGATAGTAGATATATAATAATAAAAGTACTTACGATTGAATAGTCACCCTTTTCATAGTGATTTTATAGTTTTCAGTGTTTTCACTTTTTAAATTTTCTGTTTTCACTTTTGCAAATATTCTAAGATAACTTGATACAATGATGCACAAAGCCACTGTGATTGGACAAAACTTAAAATCTCCTTGATAATTGATACTATCGGTTGGTTTCTTATCGACTTTGCGGTAGCACAAGTTGTAAGCGCAAACTATCGATAGAGTCATTTACAGAATCACATAGTCGATAACGAAGTTCGATACATTTCAGAAAACGTCGATAGTGATCACTATCTAATAAATTCGTTAACTCGGTATCGAGTTACAGAATAGAGCTACAGTACTAATATCAGATGAATAAAAAAAACCAAATTTAACCATTTTTAAATTAGCCTGTCTTTTTCCCAGAGGTCTATTCTACACATAAACACTCATTTATAAATAAAATAAATATGATAAAAAATAATACAAATCAACAAACATGCCCGATTAACCAATAGCAAACAATAAATATACACTGTTTTGCTCTACTGTTGTATTCTTTACATCCAGATTTCTTAATTTTCCGGTGGATTTTCTTAAAATTTTCTTTCTTTAAAAACCATCTCCTGGCAATTACGAACATCTTAAAAAAAATTGAGCCAAATCGGACCAGCCGTTCTCGATTGATGAAGTAACGACATTTTTCACTCTACATATTTATATATAAAGATAACTAATTATTGACTAACATTATCGGACTTTATTTATGCCTAAAACCTGCTCCGTGATATCCTCTTTCATTTTAAAAAAACTGCATGACAATTGGATAAGAAGTTTCGAAGCCAAACCGTAACAAAGATTTCCTCTTTTGCTTGATTTCAGTTTATTAGGAATAGATCATGACTAAATAAACAGGCATGATCACTAGATTATTTCACGCATTCATTCTTCCCCAGACTTGGATGAAAAACTATATATCATGGAGAAAAAAGTTATTCCCACTATAAATTATATTATATTATTTTATTTCTAATTATATTATATTGGTTATTATTATTATAATATTACTTACCTATTAGTTATTAGTAATACATTTAATCTAGTAGTAATATAATAAATAATCAAAATGATAAGCTCCCGTGTCATTATTGTTTTTGTATTATTCAATATTGTGTAAATATAAATATTGTATTAAATAAATATATGCATATAACATTATACGAGTATATGACAATGTTTGTTTTTCTTTAGTTATTTATACTTTTCCTTCTCCATACAGCCATCTGCCATTGTAAGAAACAATTTATTTAATATTGGTTTACTGGTTTATTGGTTTTGCCTGTAAAAAAGTGTAGTGTTTTCTCCTGGCTTTTTAAGCAAATTGTTGTTACAAATTAATTTTATTTTTATAAATAAAAATGCCCAACTGCATGGTACCTAGCTGTGCAAATAGCTCTGCCATAGGGTTTGGTAAGGCTGTAAGTTATTACAGAGTTCCAAAGTCACTCACTTATCGTGCAAAGTGGTTTAATGCATGTGGTGTAGTTGACAATACAGTGAAAGATGGTAAGTCATCATGTAGTATACTGTTAAGTATTTTTATTTAATGAAGGGACAATTAAACATTGCAATAATTTGTGCAAAAGCACGAATTTGTTCAAAACATTTCTCGCCAAATGCAATGAAGGAGAAACCGTTAATCCAAATTAAGGCAGGATATTCTCCTTGCAAAAGTAAACATTTTAAAGCTGATGCAGTCCCTAAAAAATATCTAACTCCACGGAAAGTAAGTATTTAATTTTATTTTACTAAAAAATATTGTGTGAACTAAATTATTTTTATTTCAATACAACATAACAAAAATAGTGGATACTTTATACATAGCATGGTAGGTATTAATGATATAGGTACATAGTTTTAATTATAAATACAGTCTCTACACTTTAATATATATTTTACAGATAAAAAACTCTAGAGTTAAATTAAATTCTATCCAACAAACTGCTGAAGTCTCAACATTCTCAAATCCAGAAATTTTACCGAATGCGGATTCTTTCAATGAATGTCCCTTGGTAATACATAAAACATTGTTAAAAATAGTTTATTTCTTTATCACTATTTTCTTAAATACCTATGATAGCATATATATGAGCATAACACAATTTGTAATACAACTTGACATATGATGCAGGTACCAAAGGTTGAAGTTCTCGATGACTGTAAAAAACCATTCATCCCGAGGTCTCTTGTTAATGAATTTGAACATGATGTGTCTTTTTTACCCATTGACAACTCTGAAATATTTGTACAATTTTTTTCTTGTTTGTCTTGTAGTTGACTAAAAAAAAATTAAATTCATAATTTCTGTTAATATTTCTCATTTTGAATTTATAATTTATAGCGATTTTCTCCGAAAACAACTAGATAATTTAAATCAAAAACTTTTGGAAGTTCAAAAAGAAAATGAACAACTTCATATAAAAAATAAAGAGGATTTTAATTTAAATGTGCATAAGTTGTTTTCGTCAGTGTTCACTAAGACACAAATTAATTACTTTTTAAATGACAAAAAAAAAATAATTAAAAAGTGGGAGAATGAGGATATTGTATCAGCGATAACACTCAGAAGTATTTCTACAGCCGCTTATTCATATCTGCTTCAAACTATTCCATTGGCAAGTATTCAATTATTTCAAAACTGATGTGAACTATTTTATAACATGTTGTCGTATTTTAGGTCTTTCTACAGCCGCTTATTCATATCTGCTTCAAACTATTCCATTGCCAAGTATTCAATTATTTCAAAACTGATGTGAACTATTTTATAACATGTTGTCGTATTTTAGGTCTTTCTACATTAAGAAGATATGCCAAAACATTTTCCATAGAGCCAGGTGTATTAGATAATGTTTTAAGTATCATGAAACAAAAAGGTTATTAACATTAATAATTAATTAACTAATTAACATTTGGTAGTATTATAAATTATAATATTACTAATAATAACCTATTATTTAAGGTACATCCATGTCTGATAGAGATAAAATTGTTGTTCTCTCTTTTGATGAAGTTTACATAGCACATGATGTTTGCTATGATAAAGCAATTGATCAAGTTTTAGGACCACATCAAACTGTGCAAGTGGTCATGGTTAGAGGACTCTTCAAATCTTGGAAGCAGCAGTCTTTTATTCTTATGACACACCAATGACTGCTTCAATATTAAACAACATAATTAATAAATTATATAACTGTGGATATAATGTGGCAGCAGTTACAAGTGATATGGGTCCTACTAACATTTCTTTGTGGAATTCATTTAAAATTACCCATACAAATAGTAGTTTTTTACATCCAAACACTGGAAAAAACATCCATATCTTTGCTGATGTACCACATTTATTGAAATTGATAAGAAATAACATCATTGATCATGGATTTAATATGGTTACTGAAAATGGTAATACTTTAAGTTCATATAAATTGTGACAATTTTGTTTACTTCATATTATATTCATAACAATGTATTAAAATTTCTTTATGTTAAGGTAATAAATACATAGGTAAAAGTTTGTTTGAATCTTTGTTGAAAGTACAAGGTACAAATGACTTGACTTTTACTTACAAAGTGACAGAGTTTCATTTAAATGTCAGTGGAGTTCAACGTCAAAAAGTTAAAACCGCAGCCCAACTTCTTTCCAGGACCGTTGCTAAAGCAATGCAATACTATGGAGACACGGGTGCACTAACATCTAATTGGAAAGAAGTACATTAAAATTTCCTGAGTTTGGATATTATCACATTGTATGATTACTTACTATAATAATTGTTTATATTTAGTGTTCAGAAGCAATTTTGTTGATAAATAACTGGTTTGATCTTCATAACTCTCAGCAAATGTTAGGGGACAATTCCAGTGCATATGGAATAAATTTGGATGAACAGAACCATATTTTAAATTTGATGGATAATTTTATTAGTACAATGAGAGTACACGGAAAAAACAACTTATGACATTCCAAAAGGGAATTCTGATTTCAAATTTATCTTTAAGAAACCTGTACAAAGATCTTAAGAGGACGTGTCACCCAAAAAAATCACTCGAAAAATTCCTTTAAAAACATGTTTGCGCGTTCCAATAACATGGGTTACTGAGTGGTTTTATCATAAAAACACCTATGAACAAAATTGTAGAGGAGAATTTTATCTGGTTCTGTAAGAAGCCCGATTTTTGAAATTTTCATTTCTAAGTCCTAAAATTAACTTCCGGAAAATGAAAAAAAGTGTATTATTAATCATGATATATTTCATGATGTTTTAAAGATATCAAAAATCGGGCTTTTTACGGAACCAGATAAAATTCTCCTCTACAATTTTGTTCATAGGTGTTTTTACGATTAAACCACTCAGTAACCCAAATTATTGGAACGCGCAAAGTATGTTTTATAAGAAAACTGCAGAAAATTACGCTCGGCAAGTGCTGCGCCCGTAGTCAGTGGCAGCGTTCGATACTAGCTGTGCATACCACCACCCCGCGCGCATTAACGGCGGTACCGCACCATGGTCAAAACAGGTTCTCTATCGCAGCCGACCGCCCGTGCGTAGTTTATAAATAACCAGATAAGAAAATTATTATTATATTTGTGACAAATATTATTTAATTTGGTTCGATTTTATATTTTGTATTCGTATCCGAATTTTATACAAATAAAAACGTGTTCTTCAAGTAGGTAATAGTGTAATACGGCTCATTGAAGCGGTTTACAATAAAAATACCTATTATAAAAATTGTAGAGGAGAATTTTTTTAACAATCGTAAGGAATCCGATTTTTGATATCGTATTCCAATCGTCCAATATCGCATGATAAATTAACAATTTTTTTTTTTTACTTTTTATCGATTAATTATTTAACTCATTAATGAAAATATAAAAAATCGGGCTTATTTCGATTATTAAAAAAATTCTTCTCTCCAACTTTTATAATAGGTACTTTTGCTGTAAACTATTTAAATAGGCCGTATTACTTGAATTATCGAAC